CGTTAGCTAAGAGGCTCATTTGGATGCACCGACATCAAGCCTACAAATACTAAACTAAACTTGGTAATTGTGTGTTGCACTCTTTTTACATAAAAAAAATACAGCATACCCAATTTTAGAATCTTTCTATCCAATGGATTGGAGATGCTAATACTGATAATGCTACACCACTGTATTCCATAACTGATGATATTTGACTGCTATTAAAAAGATACTCGATTGACCCTCCGTTTATTAATACAGTGTGGACGAGCTTGATGATGATACGATAATGCGTTCGCTGAGAGTGACACGCCAGAGCAGACCACACAGGAGGAAGTAGGCGAAATACGGGGTATCATTTCATTGGGTCAAGAGCACCCGGGTCTTGCTGCAACACTGCTAAATTACCTCCGAAGCTACAACTACGCGTACAGGATCAACTCTGCTGAGAACAAGAAGCTAACCTTACTCAGACAAGCTTCTTTCAGACTCGCTATATACTATCAGATCTGCTGAATGTAGGATCAGTTATAGTATTCGACAGGTATCAGCTATACTATATACATGTTACTAACCACCACGCCCTTGGATTACATTGCTATCACATGCAGGAATAAATAGGGTTTCTCAGGTTTCGATTAGAACAGTTTATCTGTAGTAGTATACGCCTGAAATATGTAATACTGTTAGTAGTATTACAATGTTAACGAACTGTAGTAGTGATATAATTGGATTTTGGGCTTGAATTATATAATACTGGTGCAGCACAGTTGTAGACTCCTCGGTTGTAAGAAACACATACCATCAGTTTGAGATTAAACATGCACCACTCGTATATTTCACTAGGTTGTGTTGGTTGTGTTCGGAGCCGATGACACAAATAACAGTTTAATGGAAATGCTGTGCATCTATCGCAATTGTAAAGTAGATAGAGCGGGGAGTATCGCGCAATCACATGAAGAATATTTATTCGAATGGACACGAGTTTCATCCAGCAATTTTTGCATCTAGTGCACTACAGAATGACATATTTCGTCAGACTCAGCTAAAAACATTGTACCCTTTAATGCATGACGAGCCTCCACCAACACTCCAGCTCCTGACACCATCGAGCGTGCTCTGCATGCCCAAAATCTGCTAGCAATCACGTTCCGAGAGCGGTGCTCTACGTCTTCAAATACCTCGCGGAGATGTTTAAACGCAGATACTCTTCTGTAATCCGGTATTACATTGTAGTATTTTGATATTCCCTGTCGCCCTACTAATGCGACAGCAGTATTACATTTAAAAGTGGTAAATAATTATCTCCTCCAGTAGGTCTCATGTTACTATCACACTTAATAGTACTGTTCAAAGTACTGTCAATCCCTGTCCATCGCACAAAATGACAGTGGTGCTGGAAAACATTTTGAAATACTCGACCAAACAATTCCAGTACCACTTGGGAAATGCTCATCAAAATCAGGATGCATCATATTTCTCAGACAAATATGTGAACCCAGGTCGCCCCAGGGCTTAGCGATAAGATAGACATTGCAAATGAGGATGGATATTCAATGCTAACCCTTTTATAAAGTCCCAATTTCGCCCAGTCCAGTTGGTCCGTCGTGTGCGTGATTCTTGTGGCGTATCTGTGGGACCACCATCCAGTCGTTCACCTCGCGCCCTCACCGTACTTGCTACTGTTTTCGATGGCGAAGCCCACGCCCTGCTTGAGCGTTGGAGGCTTCGCGGGGCGCACAACCTGTGCCGATATCTTGGTTTTCATGCCGCGCGCGAACGCGTCCACATAGAATTCGCCGGTAGTCTTGGATGTCCAGTCCTTAATTCTGTAAGGCTATTTGCATAGTCACTTAGTAGGTCGT